ACAATTACCCTGAAGGATTTAGCTTCCAAAGTCCAAACATAATTTCGGAAGAATATTTGCACATTAACTGTTGCGAACCCCGAAAGCGTTCATCAAATACCTGTGACAATGAACTCTCCGGAAAATAAGCAAAAACGAGCAGAATAGTAACGGCGTTGACGGAGTACATTCAGCAAAGGAAACAAGTTGTGTACATATACCTTGTGTATACCTACGCAAGAACCGCATTAACAAAAAGCTGATTTGACTCAACACATATTTCTTTCAAACATTTATACCTGTGTCGTTATAGCAAACTTGCTGAAACCGTATTCAAAAGTAAACACAATTGTTATTTTTATTCAATATTTCTTAAAGAATTAATTTGCGCGGTGGACCGAAATGGAAGCGGACAAGAATTCAAATTTGTTATAATAATAATTCAGATTTAAAACGGGCCGTATAAAGAAACCCAGCCTTTTTTACTTCGCGTCAAATGAGTGATTTGTTTATATCTGTTTTCTAACCGATGCACATAGGGGTATTTGACCGATTTAGGCGGCCAAAATTATTTTTATGAAAATTTTAACTCAAAATGCCTAGAAACGACGTATTACGATATTTAAAACTGTAAATGTTTAAAATCAAATAAATAGAGGGGGAGGATGTCCAAGTATTCCGCCAAAAAAACGAAAAAAAGGTGCTTAATGTCGACATCGATAGACTCCATGTTATCGAGGCCCCATTGTAGAAAAATTGAGACCGACGTATTCGTATCGGCGAGGAGAACCTTTATATCTAAGTTAGAACATTAAAAGGGTTGCCACCTGCTTAAAAATTAAACGCTATTAAGTTAAATGAATTACTACAATGTGGGTAACATTCGAAATGGGTTTGAAAAGGCTTTATTTCCAAGAAACGTGTACGAGGGTTACCATCTGTTTAAAAATTAATTTATAAGGTTATAGTTGGAAACTATTTTAAACAGGGCTGCCACCTTTTAAATTTAAAATTAAATACAATGTATATAATAGGTTAAGTTAATTATAACAATATGAATATCATAAATGGGCAAATCAAAAAAACAGGTAACCTTTATGTTATTTAGCTTTATTTTCACTGTTGTAAACTATATGAAGCTGGTTGCTTTTGGATATAATTCATTGACTTATACTTGAAGCCTCAAAAAAAATTTGGACCAATTTGCTGCATAACTTTTGAATTATAGGTGTTTAAATTAAAAAATAATGAAAACAAGTGGATTGTTTTATGTAATTTTTAAAAGGGGCACAATTAGTTATGTCAAATTAGCTTCATATTTTTACTAGAACTTACCATCAAGCAGAGATTTTTTTTCTAAATGTACTGACAACTATGTATTTTCTCCTCTGTAACTCTCCACACTTTTCAATTCAACCCATCTTTAGCTAAACCCCCCCATCCCCCTCCTTTGCCCCTTTACTTTGTTGGGCGTCTTGGCTTGCCTATCACCCCCCTTTACTTATTGAATACATTTAAGGGAAACTGGTACAGTACTGCAGCAGTATTTTCAGTTTATTTTTCGGCAGTAGTAAGTATTTCCAACGGCCACTGCATAGAAAACGCACATTTTCAGCAGGTTTTTTTTTTTGTTTCCAAACTACGAATTGTCAAGCATAACAACCAAGCAAGAATCTCAGCGCCGTTGAGTGGTGTTACATAACTTTATGACTGTAGTTTATTCCTCAAATCCATTAAAATGAGCAAAAATACGATATTTTTCCTAGTCGCTCTGCCGGTACCAGTTTATATTATATTTGTATTAAACTATGTGGATTATATGGTATTTACCTGCTTTACAATTGTCTAATTTAATATAATTAAAAAAATTAACACGATTTAGAGCAGTTTTTTACCACTTCGGCTTGTATTAAACACATCTAAAAACCAAATAATCAATTATCAACACGGTACTTTGACAGTGCGGTGCGAACGAGTGAAAACAAAGAGGGATTAAAAAATAAAGAAATCTAGTCAAGAATTATATTCTCTTCGCCCTATATTCAGTTATAAAAGAAAAATGTGCGTTTTTTAAATTTGACTTTTGGCCGCCTAAATCGGCCAAATACCCCTCTGTGCGATGTGAGAAATAAAAAAGCGATTTGAAAACAAATTCGAGTCAATCCACTGTCGAATTTCTGAGCGTATTGAAAGTTGGTTTATGCTTCCGTTTTGAATCACATCGAACTGGGTCAAGGCGCTTTATGTGTTGGTATAAACAAGGTAATAGACAAAACAAATTTTAATTGGTTTTGTCGCCGAACAAAGGGTCGCTCCCAGTCTGGTACGCCAGCAGTTTTGACGCTGCCACTATCAAGGGGCTCAACGTCCATTTAATTGGGCCATAAGCACATCAGGTGTATTGTATATGGAGACACGACGAGGGTCGTTCAAGAAGAAAAGCGTGGGTGAGTGGGTGAAAGAGCACTTAGACAAGTGGACGAGCATGGGCAACACATTGTCAGATCTGGTATTGGTGTGCCACCATGCACCCTGTCATATTGGGCTTGAGCAAGTAGTTGGCAGTAGCGGTTCGCCCACCCTTCTGCGCTTGGGTTCATACTCGTCCATGCTCAATCCGATATTGAGAACATTTGGGCAAAAATAAAAAAGTTATGTCAAAAGCCATATGGTTATTCCTTCTACCGATGGACCGGGAGTAGTAGAAAGAAGACTGCAATACTTGGAGGAAGTAATTCGCCAATCGAAAGAGACCGTTACTACAGCGGATTGAGCTCGTGCTATCTAGCACTCATCTGTTTTTTTTCGGATGTTTTGGCCTTGCGGGATATGTCTGTTGGACTTTAAAACAGTTCGCTTAAATAAATCTGCTTTTTTACAAGTGTTATCCTGTTTTACTCAATTACAAAAATTGGGGGAGGGGTTAATCGGGATATGAATTTAGAATTCATTATGTTTTCTAAGGGTGATGATAAAAAGTCCATATATAAAAGTGTTCTGGGAATGATTTCTGAATTACATTTGCGTTCTTCGGAATTTAAATTGAGTTTTTCTGAAATACATTTGGCCTTTTCTGAATTTCATTTGAGTTTTTCTGAAATACATTTGGGGTTTTCCGAAATACATTTGAGGTTTTCTGAATACCATTTGAGGCTTTCTGAAATACAAAAACCAATTGAGGTTTTCTGAATATCATTTGGGGTTTTCTGAAACACATTTGGCCTTTTCTGAAAATTAATTGATTTTGTGAAAATTATTTGTAGTTTTCGGAAATAAAGGGTGAACACACCAAAACTGCGACACTTAGAGATTACTACCAGAAACAAACTAGAAGGCTTTGAAATTATTTTTTTTTTGTATTATATAACTTGGAAGTTTAGATGTTATTAAAATGTTGAAATATTAGTTATTATTTGCTCCATATGCAAGTGATCGGTTTCTGCACGACTGCATCATCGACTTTACGCGATGCGCACAACTACTTTGTTTTGCACTCTGCAATATTTTTCACTGTTTCACCTGTTTTCTTCAAGATTTCTTTGACAATTGACCAATATTCCCCAATAGGACGTAGCTCTGGGCTATTGGGTGGATTGCAGTCGTGAGGTACAAAATTGATGTTATTTGCATTATACCACGGCAATGTGTCATTGGCATAGTGACAGCTTGCCATATCCGCCTATAACAGTGGCCTACTACCTTACCTGTTGATAAATGACAGAAAACGCCTTTTGTGGCACTCATCCCGGTAAACTTGATCATTCATTGTCCCGGATGGGAAAAAAGGGCTGCTCTTGCGGCCACAGGAACAACTAGCTTGCCAAACCATGTTGTTTTTTGGAAATTTGGACTTCATTTTCAGCTTACAGCTTTCACGGGCATCTTGCAGTTGTACACAAATCTTGACCTGCAATATAATTTGAATTTTTAAAGCAGTAGGTTTCGTAGGCCATAATAATGCAGTTGTATTTTTTAATTTAGAATTCATACAACTTCCGACTGCGGGATTTCGCTGTAGCCGCTTTACCTTTTGTACGAAAAACTGCGATCTCTGTACGGATTTTGCAACATAACGCGACAAAACCTTCGGATCTCGCGAAAACGCACTAAGAACCTTCCGAGCACTGTTTTTTTCACTTTGACCATGCTAACCCCCGCTCCCTGGTTTTCTCGTAACTGCCAGGCCTTATTTGTACCGATTAAAACCCTGCAAACTGTCGATTAGTGCAATCTTTAATTTTTAGCAATTTTACGTGTACTTAAGGCCAGATCATTTATAAACTCGTGCAAAATGGTTTGTCTCGTTTCTAACTCGGTTGCCATTTATAACTCAACTAGGGATCAAATTCAAATGAAATTTCTTCTACGTCCAACTAAGGTCATGGTCAGCTTATGGTATTTGAATTTCAAAATATTGACCCAAAGTGTCACAGTTTTGGTGTGTTCAACCTTTACATTTCTGGATTTCTGAAATACTTTGGAAAAGGTGTAGTATTTCTACTAGTAGATGCTGATGCATAGTCTGACAATTGGCATCTCGTACGACATCGCAATGTTAAAAATACCAGTCTATAAGATTGAAAAAGGAAAGAACGTGAACTAGTTGGACTAAAACGCAAACTGGTAGAATTCTTGTTCACAATTAGTAGCTTTCCCTGCAGGGTATCAGCTGAGTTATGTCAAGTGTACCATGATAAAAACATAACAAGATAAAACCATTGAGAGACAGTTTGACGTTTGCCAACAATATAATTTAAAAATCAAAACTCAAACTCACACACACATTCCCATTTTCAATCTCAAACAACAACAAGTGCGAACAATTTCATTTTTTTATTCTCAATTTTATGATTTTAGAATGCTGGCAAACGTCAGAAAAAAATCATGGCCGACGAATTGAGAGAATGAATTTACCTTGTAATGTTTTTATCATTGAGTATACAGTTGTATATTCGTAAAAAATTTAATTGATATACTTAATAATTTTTTGTAATGTTTTGTTTTTTTCAATCTTGGCTTAGGGTCTGCAGGAGAGAGTCTTACTCCGCCTTATGTAGCAGCGTTAAGCCCCTTGACTAATGGTATGGCATTTACAACTACTGCCTTGCCCCTCTACACCACAGCACAACAGACCACAACAGCTGGAAAACAAGTAGAAGGTGAGAAATAACCAAGAGTTGAGTTTAGGCAACAATGTAAAACATGCGCGAGTGCAGTACAGTGGGCCGCGGAGGTTGCACCCGCCATGTTGTGTACTCGTAAAATTGAAATTTTACATACATACATAAGTACCGCCCATCGACCAGTTGCAAAACCGCCTAAATCGCTGTTGTGGCAAAAATAATGCATGAAATCTCAAAATCGTTACTAAAACAACAGATTTATAAACTAATTGCAAGAGAAAATATCGCCTGTCAAGGCAATGCCTTCAAAGAAAAACCGTTTTTCGCTCTCCTATAAAATTTTATTGCCGTAAGATAGGCGGTTTTGCAATTGGTCGATGGGCGGTTTTGCAAAAACATCGACGATATATTTATTTTCCAATATCCAATAAATCCGAAATATCAAATAATTATTTATTTCATTTTATTAGTAATAATTTGTATAAATTTAAATAATTCAGTATTATTCCTGCATACATATCGCACAGCGTCTTCAAAAGAGTCACAACTCAAAATTTGGCATTTTTGAAATTATGCGCTAAAAATGTACTTACCTTTCAGCAAAAGCTGTAGCAAATTTTTGTTATAATTTGTAAAAAAAAAAACCTAAGGTTAAGTCCCCCTTGCCCATATTATTACCATGTGCTACGAAATAGTTTTTCGCATTTTTTGACGAACGTATTATTTTGAGTAGTGACTCTTTTGAAAACGGTGTGCGCAATACCTCATATCTTAGGGCTGCCAGACGTCCCGGTTTTCCCGGACATGTCCCGGTTTTAGACTATTTGTCCCGGTGTCCCGGTCCAACCTTAAAATGTCCGGGGTCTCGTCTAAGTGTCCCGGTTTTCGATTCGATTGCACAAATTTTGAATAAAAAATGACTACACTGAGAGAAAAAACGCGTTGTAATATTAAGAAAAATTTTTTGAATTTACTGGGGGAAATAACGCATAGTAAACATGAATATTTTTTATTTGATTATCGTTTTAAAATGTTCGTATTTAAAAACAATACTTTCATACCACGAACACGTGGTTTTGAATCAAACTGAACACTTGTATGCACATTTACATGTCTGGCTGTAGCTGAGTGCACGAAGATGCTTGCCACAATTTGCTAATTTTCAGAGCGTCAGGGTTCAAATCCCATTACAGGCAGCATGGAATTTAAATATTTTTTTTAACTTAATTGTGAAAAAGCTTCCGTTAAGTGCAAAGCCCTTCATTTTAATATTGGCGTAGGTATTTGATTTGAATATTTCTGTACTAAATACTAAAATTTGTATACTTAAATTTATTGCGAGTTGGGTTGGTGCTCTTTCATATGCGATTTTTTTTTTAAATTTAGCACGTTTTGCACAAGCAATAGTTGATGATTAATATAAGTAGGTACCTAAATACGTTAAAATGGCATGCACAGAGTTTTACAATTATGTTAAGCAAAACCCAGAAGTTTTGAACCAAGTTCACAGCAACGAAACAAATGACTGATATTTTAATGTTACCTTGTATTTAATTTTTTTTCTTTCCTGAAACCTAGATTACTTATAAGTACCGTGCCGTACAAAATTATTAGCTCGGAGACTATTTCATTAGATCACAATTTCCAATCAGATCTTTTAGAAAAATTTTGAAAATGTAGCTTTTGAGCCAATTAGTAAAGTGCAAGTCTGAAGTTACCAGAAAATTTCGTTGATTTTTTGCAATTATTTATTTTTTGCGGACGGCGGCTTCTACATACAAAAAAATGTCGAACATAGTTTGTATGGAAGAAACTCTCAGTAAAAACAATACCAAAACTCAACTAAATTTTTTATGGGCTGCGAAACTTCATTTTAAAAATTTTTATAAAAAAATCTGAATAGAAAGTTGTGAATTTGTATGCAAGTTTATTGCATTTTCCCGAGTTTTGCACAGAGTTTAGAAATTCTATTTTTATGTTTTCTGATGTATTAAGTAAAAAAATGTATTTTTATAAGGAACAATAAAGGTACATGAATTGTGAAAATTTCTCTGTGCTTTAGTTGTGATAAATTGTTTTGTTTTGCTGGTGTACGTTGTAATGATCTCATGATCTCATGTTTTTATGTTTTTGTTTTTGTTTGTCAATATAAAATTTTACTACATCATTTCGTACGTAATTTTTCTCAAAACGAAAGGGAAGTGAGCGAGAGGCCTTTCCCACCCTTAAGTGTCCCGGTTTGGCAACGGAGATATCTGGCAGCCCTATCGTATCTGCCAAATGCAATACCACGTATGAGGGGGCATAGAAAACTATTTATTTTGGTTAACTTGTCTCAATGCTTCCCTACTTCACACATTTTATAGTAAATAATTACATTAGAAGCTCTTATTTAGTAAGTTTAGTTAGCAAATCATTCAAACGTTCTAAAGAAAATAAGTTTCTTCGCTCTTTTCGAAATTTTCCGACTATCTTTTGCCGGATACGAGGTATTGCGCGCCAAGCGACGATATGTTTTACCAAAATCAAACAAAGAAGCTTATTCAATATGGAACAAAGAACCACCAAACTTAACACTGTGGGTAATAGCGTAGCCGATATTGGTACAGCTAGAGCTGGTACTTTGAAGCGCGGCCGAAGGTCGCCTACCCAAAAAGGAGTTGTTCGCGGAAAAATATGGCATATGGCATAAACGAATTTTGAAAACTTAAATCATAATTATTTTAATTACACTGTGGAACAAATTCAGGTTAGCAAAAGTTAGGTCGATTCTGAGAGTGAGGGGTGAAAATAAAGCCTAAATTAGAAGACCCGTATCGCGGCGTTTGTTAGTTCGAATTTTTTTTTAGTCGACCTTCGAACTTTGCAGTCAAATGCCGATTTTCAGCATATTGTTTGTATGGTTTTTTGGCTATAACTCGTCGATTAATTGATATTTTTTCAATCTGTTAAAGCCAAATTATTGCTAGAGACCTGTGCAACAATTAAATTTAAAAAAAATTGATTTAGAAAATTTTTGTAGTGCTTATGAAGCACAATGTTGGAAATATTTTTTTTCATGCTTTTTGAACATATTTTCCACAAAACCAAGTATTTTTTGCTTTCTGTTTGATCTATAATATGCTTCTCAGTTTCTTCAATAAATTTCATTTGAAAAGAAAACAATCATAATACAAAACTTGCGTTTCCAGCTTAATATTAATTTACTTCTCATTTCTTATGTACTAATTTTTTCAGTGTTGGTTTTGAAGAAACATTGAAAAAGAAATTATAAAAATATGGAAAAAAATATAATTTTGAAATGTTAGTTACGAAAAGTTTTAAGTAAAAAAATTAAATAAATTAAATTAATGATTTGGCCAGTTGCCGGTCAGCCGGCGGCTGTGGATCAACATCACTGCTCTCTCTAATATCTTGGTCATCGATAATTTCGTCCAACAGATATTCTGGAATTTAATCTTTGTCTTCCCCTTCTTCCTCTTTTTTCTCGTCTTCCTCTTCTTCAAAGGTGTTTTTATACCACCAACAAATTTCAGCGAGTATTGCATCTGGAGATTTCTTTCCTCTGTACCTGAAACGAAAATAGTTTTCAATCGTTAACATGTTTAAATTGTGCACTTTGACAAAGATATTACAAAAATCTAGGAATTCAAAATATGCACTCTCTATAGTAACCTTATTTCAAATGCAAGCGCAGTTTGGTGATAACGTTCGCCTTGCGCATCAGATTCAGTTGGCAACTGTTGAGCGAGTTGATCAAGATGCTGATGCAAGAGTTGAATTTTGTACGACATATTAACCCCAATTCCATCGAAAGCTGCCAACATGTTTGCCGCTACCAGAAATCGCAGAATTTTTGTAATTTCCTTTCAAGGGCGTGGGGTTAGAACCTTCATCAATAAAAATTATCAATTTCATCCAAATCCGACCAACCGATTTCTAGATATAGACTGGTCGAAAAATCGACCTCGGGCCATAAACCGTCAAGTAGGTAAAATACATACATGTTTTGTTTTAATTATTTGTATAAAAAATTTAAAACTTAAACTCAAACTTTATTCTTTTATTCGAAGAAAATGCATTAATTGTTATAATATACCCATAAACTGATACATATATTCTTACATTCTAACAGTTTTGCGCGACTGCAGTTCAGACGTGTATTTCTTCGCTCCGCGCTTATCTGGCTTTTTTAAGCGTTCTTTGTGAATTTTAATTCGCTTTGTTAGTGCGAAACTCATAATATACTGAGATAGTGACTCTTAATAATGTGAATTTCACTGACTCAATATTTCTTAAATGTAAAAATATTCATACAATGCCTTGTCTTTGTGGTCAAAAAGTTGATCGTACACAATCTAAAGTGCAGTGTGCCGGGTGTAAAAACTTATTTCACCTCAAATGTGTTGGTATTTTCCAGGCCGATCTGTACTTCTTACTCTCATCTAATAAGCCGTTTCTTTGCAAAAACTGTATGGATGACCGTCGTTCATCTCTCCGCTGCCCATCCACACCCGTTGGTTCGGGTGGGAGCACTAGTGCTAAAGAATCTCTTAATTCAGACTCTCTAAGAGATGTCTCAAGTGATATCGCTACTGAGCATGACTTTCAATTGAAATCTACACTGCTAACTGTGGTTAAAGAACTTTCTGTTCTCAGGGCAGAAAATGCTCATATCTTGTGTTTGCTAGGTGCTTTGCATGAAGACAAAATGCAGCTAATAAAGAAAAGTGATGATTTGCATGTAGAAGTTCGTGTTTTGCAAACTAAGCTAAGCGACAGGGATGCCGACGTATCGTCGTTGACTGCGGAGATAAAAAGCCTTCGCGGCATTGTTGACAACTTTACTGGCCTCAATGCAAACCGCGGTATTGCTGTTAACAAATGTAAGGAGATGATTGACAATGAAAATCAATCTCTTTTACGCTCTTCTCCATCATACCCAGCCGCCGGCTCTCTGCATGGGACTAATGTTACTGCTGCTCAAGCTGAACAGTGTTTACCTACACCAACGGAAACTCCCTCATCTGCTCCGT